AGACTCCAAAGGAGACCACCAAAAGCTTTCTGGAAGAAGTGAGACTTTGGGTGGTCACAGTTCAGAGAATGGGAATGGAGTGGGTGAATAAGACGTGTGGTGGAAATAGAAAAGAAAGGCAGAGTCGAGGGGATCGACCAGAGGGAAGGATGGGAAGAGGCAGAGGTGTGAATGTGAGAGTAGTGATACAAGCGGGCCTAATGGAGCTGGGACTTTAGCCTGAGGGCAGTAGGGAGTGAGCAGACCATTTTCTGAAGGGAGGGAATTACTCTATGAAAGAAACATTTTGCTCATTTATCTTCTAGTAAATTGGAGTGGATAAGCAGCAAGAAGTAATGAGATTAGTGATTTTTAAATCACCCCCTTCTCACTACATCCACTGCTTACCTCCCTAGCCCAAGATATCATTGTCTGTCCTCTGGATGATTGATTGAAGTGGCTTCTTGCCTTTCCTTGCTTCAACGTTTCCATATGAATAAAAAAGGATATAAGTTTTTGAATTGCTGGCTATGTTTATTATCTGTGGTGGTTTCATGTATATATACATACGCTTTTGTACACTTTATTGTATGTTTTACCCTAAGAAGCCTGTTAAAAATAAAAAAAATCAGGTGTCTTTTCCTTAACATTTCAATAGCTTTCTTTTTCAGAATAAAAGCCCAAGTCGTTACAATGCTTCAAGGCTTTGCGTGGTCTCTCAAATCACTCAGTCTCTCCAGCCATGCTGGACCCCTCACTGTTCATTGCACAGATAACACCAAAATATACTTGCATTGTCCCCAACTTGAAATGCTCAGATGTTCAAATGGCTCCTTTCTTCTTCCAGATCCTCACTCTGTGAGGCCTTCTGTGATCACCTTAGAGAAATCACAACCCCTACCCTTTCACTTCTCCCCCTCCTTTTTTTTTTTTTTTTTTTTTGCTTTTTTTCCCTTCTTAGCGTGTATATTCAATATATATGGTCTGTTGTTTTACCTGCCTCCCCCATTAGAACATGAGCTTTGTAGGGGCAGGATTTTTTTTTTTTTCCTGTTATGTCTGCAGCTATATATCCAGTGCCTGGTGCATGGTAGGTATTCAATCAAAATTTTCTGGATGAACAAATGAATGAATGTAGGTGGTAGTGGTGATGGCCTAGATTATCAGTGGAAATGGAAAGGAAGGACCGTATCTGAAACACTTCCAAAGAAAGCATTATAGGAGGGAGTGGACAGGGAGCTTGCAAGGGAGCATGTCCTCCAGTCTGGTGGATTGTAAGGTGGCTGCAGCAGAGGCAAGCAGAGCTGGCCAGAAGGTCAGGACAGAGAGGCTGAAACACAACAAGTGTTAGAGCCAACACGGTCTTGGAGTTTTATGGGTGGATATAATAGATGGGGCTATTAGAATGAGTGAAATCTGAGCAGATGTAGAGAGAGGGAAAGCTGAAATCTGAGATCTGAGAATACTCAGTCGGTCTTCAGTGGAAAAAGCAAAGTCAGTGGAGAAAAACCATAAGCATTAACTATGAAAATCTAAAGAAGTAGATTAAGACAATATTACATAAACCAGAAGGGACATTTCAAGAAATAGCTGGTGATCCAGAAAGTAAAACATGTCAGAGAAGTCCTCAATATGGACACTGGAGCTCTTTAAAAAAGAGTGTAGTGAAACCAGGTTGTCGTATAAAAGAATAAATGATGAGGGGGTGCCTGGCTGGGTCAGTTGGTGGTAGAATATGTGACTCTTGATATTGGGGTTCTAAGTTCAAGCGCCACATTGGGTGCAGAGATTAGTTTGAAAATAACTAAAAATTAAAAAGAAACGATGAGGAAGTGGAGGCAGTGGGTGTGTGTGTGTGCTGTGGGGGTGGGGGGGGAAGGTGGTACCGGGGGAAAAGAAAAACAGAATCTCTCTTGGAGATAAAAATCTCTCTTGTACAGATAAAAGAGACCTAAGACAGCTGGGGGGAGGAAGGCCTAATCTAATGACAGAAATCGTGACACAGGAGTGGGGACCATCTCCTGGGAAAGACACTGCACAAAAAGCAGGAAGGAAGGAAAGGCACAGGCTGGGAACGTGCCTCTTCCTGTGAAGCTACAAGCTTGAAGGCCTGACAACTTAAAGAATTGGGGACCACCTGAATGCATGTAGGATATGGGGAGACAACAGATGCAAAGCAGTGTGTAGGGGAGGTGGGGGTTCTGACCTCAGGGCCTCCATCTTAGATATAAACTCGAAGGAACCACTTTTTCCAGAGAATTGGGATCAGAGATGTGGAGACAAGCAGAGAAATTCCTAGGACTGTGACTGACAGAATTGAATACACATTGTTTTTTAAATGAGGCAGTAATTTTTTCTGTAACTCCCCAGAAGACATGTGTAGATTACTGGGTTTGAGACCATTCTCCTGTCCAAGGATCAGTTGGGCAATCTCTGGGAGGCAGTGCCATCTGTGCTGACCTTAAATGGCAGGATGAACACTCAGCAGGTATACAGGTCTGCACGAGGTTACCTCTTCCTCTCTGATTGATTCATTCAAAAAGGATTTATTCACCTTGATTGGAGACACACTAGTGCCTACCCTTTACTCAGAGGCCCACCCGCTAGAGTGGGTACAGGGACTGGCAGATTCCTAACCTGCAAGCCAGTTCCTTTCAAAGTCTTTATTTACGTTGCTGGCTCCCTGGCTCCCTAGGCTCTCTGTTTTCGTTCAGGGGATCCAGCCCAAGCTGTCTCCGAGGTTTTCCCTGGATAGCTGAAGTCTCATGCTCCCTCGCGGCCCCACCTCTCTACTGCTGAGAAAAGGTGCTTCGGCTTCTGTGAAGGGCTAGGGGAGGTGATAATGGTTGTCTTTTCCACCAAGATAATAACACAGCTGCCAAATTGGCAGGATTCTCTGCCCCCCCCCCCCCTTTCAGAAGGGGCTGTTGGCAGGGTGGGGAAAGGACTGGAGAAATTGGATAGTGGAAGTGGACAAGAAATTGGGGGAGGATGTCACATATAATTAATGCCGGCCTCCTCCATGGTCCACTCCCTTCAGACTGAGGCTTCTGAGAACACTGAGGGCCTGGTGGCTTCAGTGGGGGAAAATCCACTCCCTTTTTTTTTTCTCTTCTTTATCTTCCTGCCCAGATGCCCAAATACCATGTTCCCTGGAGAGAAAAGACCCCTCATCCTGCCTCAGGCGCCGGGCTGCAGCCCATCTGCTAGGGGAAAAGGAGGGACAGAGTCTTTTACCGGGAGATTCTGGAGAATCAACTGGAAGATCTGTGCTCTTAGGGAGGCTCATTTACGAGACTTAGAAGGCATTTCGGCGTACACGGGTAACAGGCAGCCTGGAGCCTGGAGCGGAGCATCCAAGCGGGCTGGAGTCTAGGGGCTAGGGCTGGCACAGCAGGGCGGGGTCCTTAGGCCGCCACGTGTCCAAGACAGGCCGAGCGGCTCATCAGTGCCCACCCGCCTCGGAATGGTAGGAACATCCCCCTCCCTGCGCCCAGTCTCACCGGCTCGGAGGCGCCAGGGCCCCCCCGGGGCCGGGGCGGGCCGGGGAAGGTAATGTAATTCCGACCCAGCTAACCCGATTATGGCGGCCTGCACCGGGCCGGGCGGCGGCGGGGGCGGGTCTACGACGCAGGGGCCCGCCGGGCCGGGTCCCATCCCGGGAAGGACGCAGAGTTCACACACTCCCAGCTCCTGGGTCCGCAGCCAGAGGTCACAAGGTCACCGAGAGGCTTCAGTCTTTCCCCACCTCCCTTCTCTGACACACTCCAGGCACAGTTTCTGGGGCTTGGGTGGGGTGTAGCGTCTGTGAGAAATGAGGCGGCTGAATCCCCCCCGAAGGCTTCGGTGAGGACTCGCGTGTGGCCTGTGGCGATTTTGTCCTCCTACCTTTGGGGGTGGGGGGAGTGTGTGAGAGGAGAGTTTCTCCGCGCAGAGTGGAGAGGCAGAGTCCCGCATAGGTGGTCCCCTGCCGGGGGCGGAACGCCAGCCCCAAGCTCTCATCGGCCGGAGTTGGCCGGGCTTGGCTCAAGGGTCCGCTCTACATCGATTTCAGAAAATCGACACTCTCAAGAAACACAGGGCACCAATTGCTGGTGCTCCCGGAAGGAGGTAGGGGCCCTACGGCAGAGGCCGGGAGGTGCACCAGGATAGCTGGCGCAGAGAGGTTGTTTCCTGCCCTAGCCCACCAGACGCGCCCTGCCACTCCCTGCCCACACCTGTCCTCTTCCCGGGCCTCCAACTCGTCGGCGCCGTTCCCCAACCGCTTCCCATCGCAGCCAGGAAGCCACAACGAGATTGGGTCTTCGAGGGCACTGAGGCGGGGGCCACAACGAATCCGAGAGTTGGCAGGCAGGACCCATCGCGAGGCGAAGAGTGGGGGCTGTGGGAAGAGGCACCTGCGAGGAAGCCCAAGGCAGAGGCCGGCGAGGATGGAGCTGCTGTGCGCATCTCGGCTGACTCAGCGCGCAGTGGTCCATGCTCTGGCCCCTCCCGTGCTGAGCCTGGTCCCTAACACCCTTGCCACCTCCCCCCTTACCCCCACCACACCCGCTCGCCACTCTTCCCCGCGTTTCACACAAACAGGCGTCTCTTTCCCTTTAACGGGTCCGGCCCCGCCCCTGCCCTACCCCCAGCCCCCACTGCCCACCCTGTGCTGATCTGTCAGTCACTGCCCCAGCCCCAGTCGGCCAACCCTCTCCACCCTGAACTCGGGCAGAGGCCCCGGCAGCCTAGCGTCCATCTGCGCTTCAGAGACATCAAGGGCACTCCTGGGGCCCCCGCCGGTCGCGCTCCCCCGGGATGCGAGTCCCTGCGCCGACGCCCGGCAGAGGCCGGCACGGGCGCGGCTACTCCCCGTGCACAGCGATGAAGCTGTCCCGGGGGTCCCGGGGACCCGCCGCGGCCAGCTCTGCGGGCCCTTGAGGCCGTCGCCCCGAGCGCTCCGCAGGGGGCTCCCAGAGTTGCCTGGGGCGCCCTCCCCAACCGCCAAAACCTCCTGCGGTCCTCCTTGACCCAGACCCATGGAGCCGGCGGTCCTGGCCCCGCACAACCTCCCGCACCACGAGCCAATCAGCTTTGGCATCGATCAGATCCTGAGCTGCCCGGAACCCCCCGGGAGCAGCCTAGGCCCCGGTCGCGCGGGCCAGGGCCATGGGGAGAGTGCGGCGTTCTCGGGTGGATTTCACGGAGCCTCAAGCTACGGCCCCGCGGGTTCGCTGGCCCCGCTACCTGGCAGCTCCGGCATGGGCCCAGGTGGAGTGATCCGCGTCCCCGCACATCGTCCGCTGCCAGTGCCGCCGCCCGCGGGAGGTGCCCCTGCGGTGCCTGGACCCTCTGGCTTGGGCGGAGCCGGGGGCCTAGCGGGACTTACCTTCCCTTGGATGGACAGCGGCCGCCGCTTTGCTAAGGACCGGCTCACGGGTGAGGTTGCCCGACCCTCCAGCCTCTTGCCCCACACTGACCCCCTTTCCTCATCTTTGGGCGTTCTGCTCCAACTCAAGTTCCCCGAATGCTCCCTGCCCGGATCAGCCCAGGCGATCCTCCCCCAATTTATGTCTCGCGGTCGCGCTGCTTTGGAGAGGCGATGGGGAAGGAGCTGCCGTCGATGCCCGCGCCCTCCTTCGCAGGCCACAGTCCACACCGAGGGGAGGGAAGGATGAAGTTCCGGGGGCCGTCTCTTACCAGAGGGGGAGGGCCATTTCTTCCGAGGCCCTTTCTTGTCTGGAGGCCTTTGCTGATGAGAGGCCGAGCCTGGGGCACCTGGAAGGGCGGCCCTGAAAACCCTGCCTTGCTCTTTCTTCCTCCCTGTAGCCGCACTGTCGCCCTTCTCCGGGACGCGCCGCATAGGCCACCCCTACCAAAACCGGACCCCTCCGAAGCGGAAGAAGCCGCGCACGTCCTTCTCCCGTTCGCAGGTGCTGGAGCTGGAGCGGCGCTTCCTGCGCCAGAAGTACTTGGCCTCGGCCGAGAGGGCAGCGCTGGCCAAGGCCCTGCGCATGACCGACGCACAGGTCAAGACTTGGTTCCAGAACCGGCGCACCAAGTGGCGGTGAGGCGCGGGGCGCGCGACGGCTGGCGGTTGGCGTCAAGGTGGCCGCGAGGCGCGGGGCGGGTGAGGGACCTCGGGCCCCGCGGTGACGATGAGGCGCGGGGTGGGCGAGGGCTGGCTTAGCTGACACCGCGACTCGACTCTCACAGGCGCCAGACGGCGGAGGAACGCGAGGCGGAGCGGCACCGCGCGGGCCGGCTGCTCCTGCACCTGCAGCAGGACGCCCTGCCGCGGCCTCTGCGGCCGCCGCTGCCCCCGGACCCTCTCTGCCTGCACAACTCGTCGCTCTTTGCGCTGCAGAACCTACAGCCCTGGGCCGAGGATAACAAGGTGGCTTCCGTGTCCGGGCTCGCCTCGGTGGTGTGAGCGACGCCTGCCCAACCCGCCGAGCGCTCTTTTCCGGACCGAGACGCCGCTTGGAGCGCCGGCCCCAGGACCGTGGAGCGAAAAGCTGACTACGCCGTCGTTCTGTGGTAGCGGAGCTTGTGAGGAAGGGCCGCCTTTGAGGCTATCGTCGAGGGCTCCTGGGCCGCTGCGGGCTCCCGGGCCACTGCGGGCTCCCAGGCTACCGTTGCGCGGTAGCACCGTGCTTAGACGTGGCCTTTCCCGCCATTTCCCACTCAACTGTGGTCGCACCCCAGCTGGAACCCGAGGAGCCAAGAAGGCGGGACCTGCAGTATGGGAGCCAATGAGGTGAGGGGAGGGGGGCGGGCTGGCCAACGGGAGCTGCCCTTCGGAGGACTATGGATTCTTCCGAGGGTAGGTTAGTCCTGGGGTTTTGGACCCAAAGAGCAAGCTAAAGGTGGTGCTGGGATGGGACCGCGGCAGCTCGCACGCACTGCCTGGGTCTATACCAAAGGTGTGATGGAAGGGAAGAAGACACCAATGACAGTGGAATAACGGAGGAGGTGCGGGAGGGTGAGAGTCTGATTGTGACAGGAACCAGAGGGTTATCCACACTGGGCATCTCATTCTTCAACTGTAAAATAATCGCTAAGGATACCTTCCTGACTTTGAACCTCATGTTGTCGTGTGTGTTCAACCTGCTGACTCCGTCCTTCTCCTTGAGCCTCACAACGCGCCTGGGTGGCAGGCAAGAGGGATACTTATACACCCCATGAAAGAGCCAGTCTAAGAACACTAATCTGCCTCTGGTGTCCTGTGGGGACAGAGGGGAAAGGGGGAAGAAGCAGTGGATAAAATTAACGGGCCCTGTGGAGTTAGGGTGAGCAAAATTTGGCAAATTAGTAGGAATATCTGAGAAGAGTCAAAGATAATTCCAAGGTTGGAAATGTAGAGAATCAGCAGATCAATGGTGTTGTGGATAATGAAGGGGAATGGAAAGATTGGAGCCAGATAACTCTAGGCAGAACTAAATGCTAGACCTAAAGACAATACATTCTGGAAAAGTGCTGTTGGGGGAGGTTGGTTGACATCCACATAGACGTGGAGACAGAATGATGAGAACAAATAGAGTCTCTAAGGGAGGGACACTCTGAGGAGAAAAGCAGAGTTGTAAGGATTAAATCTTTCTTTCCACCAATTTCTACAAACACATTTACAATGTGAAAAATGATGGAGGATATCAAAGTTAATAGTTCAAAGGGAGAAAAGGGAATGGGCACCCAGCTGGAAAGAAAGGAAAGCATGGTGTCCCTGAAGTTGTTAGAAAAACTTTAGTTTGTGGGTGACCCAGAGGCTTCTGGAAAGCTTGTTGATGGAAAGTTGAGGGTTTAGGGATGGTTGCAATAGTCATTAGGTTTAAGAAGGAAAAGGATCTATGTTGTATGTGGAAAAAGGAAGATTTTTGATTTCTTATACCACTCTCATTCTTCCTCCCCTAGAGGCAGGAACAAGACAGAGGGAAATGAGCTTTGGGCAAGGTCAGAGACCAGCTGTAGTCAAACTGCTCATGTTCTGGGGTAGTGACAGCTCGGTCAGTCACAGCATGAAGTCTTGACCACAGGTGGGAACCAGGCAAGAGGATATTGTGGGGGAAGTTGGATGATACTGTGTCACCTCTAACTCATGGATGGTGTGTATGCTGCTGCAGAACCAAACTCAAATTTGACACAGAGAAATAACTTTTATAGGCCAAAACGAAGCACACAAAGATGGGTATGGCATAAGTTGGGGGCTTGGCAGTGACGTGTCAGTCACTCTCCAATAAATAGAAGAAGGCTAAGGAAAGGGTCCAACCATATCTATACTGTGGCTTACCCAATTCCCGCCACTCTTGGTCCACCACTTCTTGAGTCTCAGGTTCCAGGATTTACATTTGACCCTAACCTTTGGCCTTCTAAATCTGGCTGGCTGCCTTGGTGCTAGTCTGAGGGAGGATCTAATGCCTTGAGATGAACTCAGTTCCATTCCTTAGGCAGGTCACTGCAGGACACAGGCATCTCCAAACTCTTGGGTGGAGGGGGATTCACTCTCTTTTGAAGAATCTGCCATTTCTTCTCTCAGCTGGTTCAAGAGGTCTCTGCTCTCACTGGGAGGCAAGTTACTAAGGAAGTATGGAGGGGCCAACTCCACCAGCCTGAAGGAGAGATTAACAATTAGAAGATGATTTCTGTATACTCTCTTACATGTAATGCAGATTCCTAAACTTCTCATTCTGTCCACAAACCGTGACTCTTCGAATCATATGTCACTACAAATCATTAAGATATCCTCTTCTCCTTATGGCTCCTTAACTCCCCAGCCATAATTTTGGCCCCAGGAAGAGGAATGGGCAATGTAGGAGGGGTGTCAGGGAACTCACATTTGTGGTTGTATCTCAGAAACAATGGAAAGGCAGTTGTCTTTCGAAATGGAGAAATTGTGGTAAAGCACCCATGGTGGAGGTCTGGCTGGAGCCCGGCGGCTTCGGTAGCAGCAGTATGGGGAGAGCTGGGCCACATGCTTATGTGTTAGGAGCAGGTAATTTCCAGTCCCATCTGTGTCTCGGGCCACCTCGTTGAAAAGCAAAGATAGTGAGGGAATAAGTGGGGAGGTGAGGGGGAGGAACACAGTAGAAAAAAAAGGGCCGAGAAAGAATTAGGAAGGGTGGTGAGAGTATTAAAAGTAAAGTATCATCTCTAGGTGTTAGAGTCCCTGTCATATGGAATTTCCCATAGTCCCCTGCACTCCAGTGCCTCAAAAAGTTTCTTTTGGTTCTAGAAAATCCTTTGAATGGCCATCTGGACCCCAAATTCAGAGGTGGCATATAAATTTTTGATCCCTTTGCTTTATCCTCCTTTTATAACCTTCACCCCAACTCTTTCCCCTAACCTTAAGGAAGTATCCTGACACCAGTGCTTTCTGAAGGTCTCTGCGATTCTGCTCAGAGCCAAAGGCTGGCTGGGACAAGGGAAGTTCAATTCGTTGCATGAGTTCTAGGAGTTCACCTCGAAGTTTCCGGGCTTGGCACAATGCTGCCCAGTTTAATCCCCGAGCCTGGCACCAAGCCTTGTCTGCTCCACCTAAGAGAGGAAAGGGGACAGCTACAATTACAAAGAAACCCCCAAGAGAACCCCACGTTTGGTAGGGCATAGAGATCTACCAGCTGGTTGCATACTACTTCCCCTTTTTGGAAAATTTGGGATTTTATAAGAAGATACAGAGTGGGCTACTCACTCTGTGTAAAGGCTTCATATATCTGGATCAAAGAACTGTGATCACCATCTGTGTGTTCCAGGGCTCGGCGCAAGGCAGCTTCTTCTGCGCAGCATGGAGGATGGGTGAACCCAGGGGCAGCTGGAGGCAGAAACAAGGAAGGGGGTTGAGAAAGGACAGCAGTACAGAAGGAAGGGTGAAAAGGTATAAAGTGTCACTTTGGGAAATGTATTCAAAAGACATTGATAACTTCTAGGTGCTATATACTTTATTAGACATTGAACATAAATAACGAAAGACAGTCTCTGCCCTCAAGTAGTTTAGAGGCTAGTAGGAGAGATAAGCAAACTTGATCAGCACAACAGATGTGTGGGCCAATGTTTGAAATTTTGTTAGGAATTAGCTCAGTGGCGAAGGGGCAGAACATCTGAACCGTGGGCATGGCAAGGCACAGCTGTTAGTAGTGTGGCCTGTCTGGAGAACCGCAAGCACCTAGTAGGGGTAGAGAGAATGGTATGTATGGCACAGTGGCGGGAGATGAAGCTGGAGAGGCAGGTATGTGCCAGTTCACGAGATGCTGGGTGTGCTGTGCCGATGAATTTATATTCTGTCTGGAAGGTAAAGAGCAGCTGTTGGAGAAGAGTAAGAGAGTCCATGTGTTTAAAGAAGTTTACTTGCCAAGTTAGGAGGCTAGAGGAATCCAGGCTGAGTGGGGATGAGGATCTAACTCTGGCACCAATAGTGAGTTTGGATACAAATAGATGAATTAAAAAAACCATTTAGGAGATAAAAATGAAAGAACCAAGAGAGAGATTACTCTAGAATGATGGTAGTGGAGCTTGAAGAGGTAATGGCATGATTCTGTGGTGGTGGTGATGGAATGGTTTAAAGCAAGTGCTTGAGTTCATCTCTGGGCTGGGCTACTGTGGACAATTCTGGTAGAAATGTCTGTCAGGAGTTGGATATATAAATCTGAGATTCAGGAGAATGGGACTGGCAGGTAGATACAAGGTTTGGAAGTTTTAAGTATAAACATGGCACTAAAGACCACAGGTGTGCATGAACTTGCTCAGAGAGTTCAAGGAATGAGAAGGCAAAAGGGGAAAGGATGGAACTCTGAGGTCTAATTTACAGTGGATAAGCAGAGGACAGGAGCCAGGGAAGAGAGGAAGGGAATGACCAGAGAGGTAGGATGAACAGCTGGAGGAGCAGTCACAGAGGCATAGGGAGGGGGCAGTTTCAAGGTGGGAGTGGTTGGCATTTTCAAGTGTCAGAAGGTCATAGGAATAAAGGCTCAGATGTGTTCAGTGGATTTGGCCCGGAGGGTGGGATGGGACGTCACTGCTGAGCTGAGACTTGTCAGGGTTGCCGTGGGCCTAAGGCTGGGATGCTGTGCGCAGGAACACACTAGGCAGACCGGGTCAGAGGTTATTCTGTAGAGCTGTCGGGGAGCAGAGGGTGGAGGGAGAGGGGTGTGGAGCTTTAGTAATAGTAGGAGAGATTTGAGCATGTTGGGGGCAAGAACCAGCATTGGGGAAAGGTTCATGAGACAGGAGAGGGATAAGTGGTTAAGGCTGTCTTTTCGGGCACTGTAAGGGAAGCATAGGAGATAGGGCTGGCCTTTGGAGCACCAGAACATGAGAAAGGGCTGGAAAGGATTGAAGTGGCCACAAGAGCTGGAGAGACGAAGGACTTTATACCAGTGAGCATGGCGGCGAGGGTGAGCATCTCATCCACACAGTCAAACTCGCAGGAGGCCAGCAGGGCTTTGGCCAGCTCAGGGGGCAGGGGGAACTCTGATAGGATGACTCCCAGGTCTGACAGGTTCCCTTCATCATCCAGAGCTGCCAGATAGTCTAAGTCTTCTAGGGCCTGCATCAGTGCTTCTGGAGCTGGTGAGGAAACAGGGCTTATAGGGCAGGGAAGTCTCAGAGCCTGGAGAGCCTGGTCAGGCAGGACTTGGGCAGGAGGGCTGCTCACCAGGCCGGTCCAGGAAGTGACACTCCCCTGGCTCTGCAATCTGTCTCCTCTTTAGTAGTAACACCAGGGGGCTCAGATTCTCCTCACACACCCTGGGTGGGGGCAGTGGGGACGCCTCTAGTTCTAGGAAGGACTTAGGGTACAGGCAGAGGTAGGATCCTGAGGGGAGAAAAGACTTGGGAAAGAAGGCCACCATAGGTTTCTCAGGGTTTGCTTGTGGCAGCTTTTCATGTTTGACCTCAGAAGGGCAAAGGCTCTTACCTGGAGGGACCCCTCTTGCCCGAAGTCGTCTTGCCTCTGCCTGACACTTGCTGATTGGTCTCAACACTTGGGATTCTGCTCGGATCTGAGGATTGTACACCTGTCACCGCCCCCCAACCAAGGCCAAGAGAGATCAGAGTGGGCCACTTCTATCTTTAGCCCCTTCATCCCCTCA